GGTCTACAAACTTAATAGAATGGCAGCAAAAATAGTCTGGTACCTGACAGAGAGTTTAAGTGCTTTCAGACACCGACACCAGTTATGCAGGCTGATTTCTTGAGGTGTTTTTTGACCCAACAGTGCTGCCAATGCAGAACCATTAGGGCTTTGTGTACATCCAGACAGCAGAAAATGCTTTCTGGGTTTAACAGAGTAGGAGTATCTTGCCTCTGCAACACAAAACCTCCAGCTGAGCTCCAAGATCAAAGCACATGAGACCCACCAACCCTCAGCACCCATTCCACTACCTGCCATTAAGAGCCAACCTTAAAGCTCAAGATGCTTGCTAGTCCCTCCTCTAAAGACTCGACAGCAGCAAGGACAGACTACTCCATAAAAGAAGGCAAGCAAGGAGCCAAGAGTCACAGCCTGGCAGGCAGTGGTGGTAACACCACCAAAAAAACCGGAAACAAAACAAACAAACATATAAAGGAAAAAAAAAAGAAAAAAAGAAAAAAAGCACACAAAAAACCTCCCACCACCCCCCCGCCAGAAAAAATCCTAGAAGTTGAGTCAGAAATTCAAGATAAGAATCAGGTCTGGAGACAGTAACCAGGATCAGACTCCGATCAGCCATGTCAGAGGGTAATTCAGTAAGGCAAGCCGGCAGGTGAGGAGGAGAGTGAGAATCAGGAGGTACAAGACTGGGAACAAGTGCAATTGCAACACTGCTGCAGAGTAGCTCAGGAAAAGGTCAAGCACAAGAGCTCCAGGTTTAAAGCCAGCACCAAGTGAAGGAGAGGGAGCCCCCACTGTGGCTCTTTAGCAGAAAGCAGCTCCTGGACTAGGGATCTCAGCAGCAAACTGGTGTTTAATCAGCATTTGAAAGGGGTCGTGACAGCTTGTCACTTCAAACAAGGTCAAGAGCCATAAAGAGCAAATCCAGCATTCGGAAAAAAAACAAAACAAAACATAACAAAACAAAACACAAAAGGACAAGAAGGACAGCTACATCTAGGAGCTGGTTTTGGGTGGAAAATTCATCTCACCTAAGGCTTTGAATATAAGCTCATATGGATCATGGAGGAGGGAATTTTAAAGTCTTTTTTTCAGTTGCTTAACTTACGCTCTACTATTTCAGGCTGCTGGATGTTGTTAACTCTATTCCTGTAACACAATGATCCTTGTGAACTAATAAACCATGAACTTCAGCATCTACATTTAGACTCCTCTCCTGGTTCTGGTACTTAAAACTTAGCCATACCAATGCTGAGTTCCTTTGTGTGAACCTAGATTTTACTACATAAGTAAACCGGATGCATAAAAATATGCAGGTTGGTTAGTCTCTCCAGCATATACCAAAAGGCTAGAATCAATTCAGTTAAGTGATTCAGAGAAGACGTCAGCCATTCCTGTTTGGACACATTTTTTTAAGTTTATTTTACCTTTAAAACTCAAGGGTCTTAAAGACAATAATAAAATATTCCTAAATATTTTAAGCTTTCTATAAGGAGAGATATATTATATGTATTATAATGTTTGCAATGAAAACCCATATTCACAAATTTGGATTTTGCAGTCTGAACCTTGAAAGTTTAATTAGAGGCTTTGTAAAATCTGTTTCTGGTACTAAATTGGGGATTTTATTTCAAAATTCTTGTTTTCTGGAAAAAGAAAGAACTAATAAAAAGTGTTTTCATTTGGCATGTAATCAATCTCATTCATTTCACTGTGCCCAATAAGGTGGAAATGATTACACAATGTGGTAAAAATCCTTAGTCCTTGTAAGTCTTGTTTTCTTTAAGTTAGTAGTTGATCTCAGTAGTGTAGTGATCAGTTCATATTAATGAATTTTGATAGCAATTTGAATTTGGTAAAGTTCTATGGGACTACCATCAGATTGTTTCATTTATTGAGGTATCACAACTGGCCAAAACTCCTCTTTGCCTCTTAGCGTATTCTTTTGCATGTTTGGATATGTGCTATGAAGAAAGACAAACCTATTTCTGTCAACTACACAAGCTTTACAGGAAGAGATTTCTGTAACACTTCCATTAAAAACTTTCCCTTTCTTACCCGTTCTGTACACGCAACAAGAGTCAACTGTCAAAGCAATTCAAATCTTCTTAGATCAATGGTCTACCTTACCAGGGCCTCTCCAGAAGTTTCCTGACCCATCTTTTTACCCTTCCTTGGAGATCTGTAATAATTTCCTATAAATGTTTTACTACTTCTTTTAGCTACACTTTGTTTATCACATTAGCTAACCCACATATGTAATTTTACTCAGAATACCATAATCTCTAACTAGATCTCCACAACACTTTCCATCTTCTGAATTTATCCCTTTGGTAAATTTATATTCCAGTATCTTTATACTAAACCATTTAACCAAGAGCCAGTCATGTTTCTACTTTAAATGTTTGCTGGTTTGTTCTGAAGCATCACTTCATGTTCCTCACATTTCTACAGAGATTCTCTTCATAAAAGAAAGTGAACTTCATTTTTCTAAGCAATGCTTTCTATTTGTATTATTCATTTTAGCAACACAAAAAATTACTTACACTTTAAAAGATGGCTAGTCTCTCTCCCATCTTTCACTAACTATCCTTTTGCTAAAACAACACACATAAAACTGAATACTAAAATTGCAAGACTACTACCCTTCTAATTTCTTATACAGATATAGCCTGTCAGTTCTAGATGACTTTGGATTGGCCCCAAACAGAAGAAAATATTCTGGGTAGTATAATCCTGCATGGAACAATGTGATCTGTATTAAAAAATCACTTAGTGAATCACCAGCACCTCTTTCCACTCTTAGGAGATCTCCCATCGAAGCAATGCCTGAATTAGTGCGGAGTGATTTGTGGCTTTCCAGCTGTCATTCATTAATTCTTAGGAAATACAATATACAATACAATAGTACTCACCCTGAGGTTGTATTTTGAAAATTTTTTTGCTGAATGTTCTTTAAACTTGTTTGCAAACAATTACTGTAGCCTATTATTTCTATAACCCTCCAAACCCATTTCACTCTTGATGAAATATTGTGGCGGTCACCCAGACCGATAAAGGGGGAAGGGTAGGAAATTGTGTCTGTGGAGACTTTGGACTATGAAACACCATCTGAGTTGAAAACAAGGGTTTTTACTCCAGTGCTTTGCCATTCCTCTGTCTTTGTCAGAAGGTACAGGAAATGGCTGACCTGTAAAAGTTGTCCTGTTTTAGAAGGAGTATTGCTTAACTATAATTCACTGAGTGGCTGCCTTGTTTTGACCTGAGACAAGAGAGGATGTTGTGAGGTGCAGACTACATTGGAGGATCCAAGAGCCTGGGGATCTACCTTTAGAATGAGCCAAGGAGCTGCATACACAAAGCCAGTCAGAGAGACTTCGTAATGCCTGCTTCATCAAGGACTTTTGGCAAAATCTATGACAAGTTCAGCTCAGCCAAAACCACTGCACCTTTAGACATGTACTGCAGGAGAACTTGAGCACAGAGGGAAGTTTTCTGCTGGGTCTCAGGCACCCCTGGCTTCCCAGAAATCTGAGAAAGTTGCACAGGGGTTTCCTTTTAGGTCTTATGCTCTTTGAATTTACATGTTAATTATCCTAAACTGCATATTAGATACCCAAGAGCTTTTTTCCCCTTTAAGTCTTGCAAAGTTGATTTCCGCAGTAAATAAAAAGACAGAAGCAAGAGGTTAACTTGAGACAAGAATCACAACAAATACTGGGGTTAAAAAAGCATAGCTATTGTTTAGTGTTTAGTAGGCACCACAACAGCAATTATGTTAAGGAAGGATTTGAAAAACAATGCTTCAAGTACTTTTATGGCCAACTCCTCCCATGCTCAGGGGTTTTCATGCTTTTAGGTATTGCATCTGCAACTGAAGCTAACTGTGAAATTAGCAATTTATTTATCCCATGGTACACACACACAATTCCAACAGTAAAAGTGAGTAAGGGTGAGTGCTGTGAGTAAAAGTTAGAACCTTTTTTACCAAATTTTGTTCTTCGCTATCTAATCAAATACCTGTGGATTCCCATATGGAAACTTTTTTTGTTCCTTCTTGTGGCTTATATCACTAAGAGTGTTAACACACCAGCTGTTTTATCTAAACAACATAATATGAGCTCTGCCAAAATAACTAAGGACAAAGGAAAGTCTGACCTTCAAAATGGTTGCCTGAATTACAAGGAAGCAGAAGATGCCATTAAGTATAAAATAGAACAATAAAGGCCTAGAATTTGTAAACAGCTTTTGATTCTGTAACACTTAGTACAAATTGGTCTCCTTAGGAATACATGTGCACATTACAATATTTTTCAAGGTTATATTTTTGCAAAAACTACATTAGAACCTGTAGTCTCTTTCTTGCATTATGTCCTATTCTGAAAATATATCAACATGAGGAAAAAAAAAATCTCTTATAACAATTAACTATTTCTGATTATTTAGCTACAGATTTTAAAATTGATTACATAAGATATAAAGTTGTTGCTCATCTTACTTGGAAGATATAATTGATAAAGAAAAAAGAATAATGAAGGTATGTTAACAGTGATAAATTATCTAGATAATTCTGTGTACATAATTACCGATAATCTGAAATCAAGGTGTAATTGTGCATTACACCTCTGTAAAACAGAAATTTTAGTTTAGTGGGCCACAAACATATGGCTGTTTCTAAGAAAAGTGGAATTTGAGATAGCAGAAAAAATGTATTTTATGTCACTCTTTCATCTAGTATCAATGGAATGTAGTTTCCACTGTTTCTTAGTGATTTTGTATGAAACTGAAGGTAATGAATAGACAAGGATTGACATTTTCTAGCAAAAGCAATCGGAGTAATACCTATTGACAACCTGATGTGTGAGCAATACTTCCTGAAGGTTTTGTGAGTGCCTTTTCCTCTCTTAATGATCTCTTAAGAGTGGCATTTTTGAAAATTGCACATTTGAATTAAACTAAGACTCTTTCTACTGTATATATAAAAAGAGAAACTGAGTTACCTGTATGGCTGTGAGGATATTGGCTAAGGCCTGACCATACGTGTCATGACAGTGAACAGCAAGAGCACTCAAAGGAATTTCTTTCATAACAGCTTCCAACATTTTTTTCATACTTCCAGGAGTCCCCACACCAATTGTATCTCCCAGAGAGATTTCATAACATCCCAAACTGTACAGGCGCTTAGATACCTGATTAGAAACAGAAAAACAGGAAGAGGTCAAGATAAAAGAATATAAAATAGCATCAAGAACATATATTTAAACATATATTTAAAAATACTCTCCCAGATAATCCAAATAGGCAAAATTTTAACACTACGAATTTTCTGTCAAGCCCCTTCCCAACATTTTCCTCTCTCTGGGGACTCCCCAGCTGTTTGGTTTTCTTCATGTACTTTTCAGCTTGTAAGCTGTGCAGGGTAAAAACCTGCCATTTTGTTTTTTACATGAAGCCAAGCACATGGCCAAACTAAGACAATAAATAATTAACAAGAAGCTGATTTTGCTTTCTCTTGGCACTTAAAAAATCAATGAAAATTGAAGTTTTAACATGTTGCAGTCAATATTAATTTTGCAATATTAATTCTGTTTGATTCTCATGAAATCAAACACTAAAACACTAACAAAGCAAAACTGCAACTTAATTAACATTCTAGTCCTTAAGTTTTAAAATTTTTTCTTAATACCAAACAAAACTGTATACATATAGATCTTACTTATGTAAGTAGAACCCTAAATATTTCTGGAATTATGTCTTTGAGGAGTTCTTTGCACGAGTAAAAGAACTGAGGCCTGGCTCCATAATTTCTGTCTGAAGAGAAACATACACAGAAGCACAAAATTGTGTTTTCACTGACAATTTTGCTTTGGAAATTGAATTCAGGATCTTTCCATCTTATTTTTGTTGAATTTATTTGGAAACCTTTCACCTTACTTTCAGCTGCTGAAAATGTTTGTCTCCTTTAGGATTCCCCATTGTGTATTAATGATCCCAAAAGACCACTCCACTGGAACAGAATCCCAGTCTAGATTTTTAGAAATGAAAAAATACAACCCTTTTCCAAGACATCTTCAGTTGCACTGCACTCTGCTGTTAAAGCAATTCAAGGACTTCATCAGTGGGATTGCTGTGAATATGTCGGAGGAAGCTGACAAAGTGCTGCACCAGCAGTCTTGGAAGTGCTGGATTAATATTGCTGTTCCCTTAATTCAAAGAACAGCTGAAAAAGAACTTCACATTGTCCAAATCGTCCTGCTTAAGGCTTGGGAGTGCTATGACTACTGCAAATGTAATAAACCTGTGCTTTAAAAGTCAGACTCACTGGTTCATATCAACACAAATTTAACATACATGTTAAGAAGGGGACAATCACCAGATTGCAAAATGAATTCCATCACATGGCATATTTTTATATCATCAACACATGGCAGGCATTTTAACTAGACTACCATTGTAAGAAAGAACATGATCATCACCAGTCAGGGGTGGATTACATCCAGCTAATCCCCAAACCTCAGCTTTTCTTTAAGATCAGGGTAAAGGAAGCAGATTTCATTTTTTTTCCTCCTGTTCTTTCTAATTCATGATTCAAAGTTTTTCTAGATGAGCATTTTAGTGATAACTGAGACTATATAAACTGCTAGAAATCTTATTGCATTCACATTTTTCCATGTTCAGTCCTTAGGTCTTTCAGCCTTCTGAAAACAAAGTTCTGAAAGATGAAAAAAGAGAGGATGAAACTCTGCTAACAAGTTCATCATCACCACTGATGTCATGATTTAACCTTAAAGTGACTCTTAAAAAGAGATCTATATTTATTTTCAAGAAGCATGTGCATGCTTGGAAGCTGAATGGGAGTTTTCCAATTTTCTATTTTACCATAGCAGGAGGCATCCCATTAGTTATGTTTTTGTCAGTTTTCAATGTGGATTTTTGGGAGGAAGGTGTAGGAGAACACACTGTTTTGTCAATGTAATTAGGATGCGATTATGAGCTTGCAGCTTTGTTGATTGAATGGCATTGTGTTCTGCACCACTGAGCAGTTTACTATGCATGAGTCTTGTGCTACTCCCCTTGGGAACACTGCCCTGACACCAAGCATTGATCAAAGGCGCTCTTCTATGCAAGGAGAGTAGAGAGTAGTTAAAGAACAAACCTGTTCAGGAAAGAAGCCTGTTGAGGAACACAATAAGCAATACGTCATCACTGCTCAAACTAAAGCTGTGTCAATTCTAACCTTCACGTTATTAGAAAAAGTTAATTTAGAAATACTGAGTACCTTTCAATTTAGCTACTTTTTTTCAAAGACTGTGAGTATGTGTGGCTGCTATGGGAGAAGTATTATATTATATATATCCAGAAGTTCCCTCTGGAATGTATACTAGAAGAAGATACAGGAGAGTAGGACCTGAAAACCACCCAAGCAGAATGGAGTATATTAGACAAATGTAGACTAACTGCTAGGGCTACAACTTAAAAGATAATTGTTCGAGTATTCTGCTATATCAACAAAAATAAGTGATTAAGTGTAAAAGAGAAGACAAGTCTATCCCTAGTTGGAAGGCCAGTGTGTTCTGCCTTCAGCCTCTTGAATTCTCTCTCCACTTTCTTTTTTACCATCCATTTCAGCTTTGATGCCCTCTTCGCCTTCCTACAAAATTTTACACTTGTGTTTCACTCACCTCTCTGCTGGGAAAAAAGGTTGGATTAAGACATCTTCTTCCTTATCCTTTATCCTAAAGGGGAAAAGGGGGCAGGAAGGGAAGGTGCGACTTACTCCATCATGGCAGCAGAGCAATTGAAGAAATCATGTTGGGGCTGAGTTTTGGCTCATGTGTCAACCACATGACACTCACCAGAAGCAAGTTGTAGGAGAGGCTCTACCAGCTGACAGCACAGTATGCTTATTCCAGCATAAAATGGATTTAAAAGAAAAAGGTTGTGCTGGAAACCATCTTGGACAACACGGTCCACTGACATATGTGCTTGAGTCTATTTCCTTAAGCATTTTCTACTTTCTTGCTGGAGGAAATAGAATATTTTTTTTCATGATTGACAACAACCAAAATACACTATTTTTCTCACATTTGACTGCCCATAGTTGAGTGAGGTTATGCACCCAGTTTTAGCATTAGATATATTTTGTCCTTGTTTTCCTTAATTTTTATCCATTAAAGATCTTTTTATGATTGAGAACATGACTTATAGACATTTTAAAATGTATTTTGGATTCATTAAAAAGACAAACCAGAAGACAAGCCAGAAGTTCATGCTTACTTCTGCCACTTTAGCTGGTATGATGTTTCCTTCATATGGGCATCCCAATGCACATGATACATACCTATAACAGAAAGAACACACAATGATACTTCTGGGTTTTTTATATATATATATATATATATACACACATATATATATATATATAAAATGCATGTATTCATCCATGTTACATTAAAAAATGGGTTAAATATAATTTTTAAATATTTAGACAATCAATTCAGAACAAAGATTTGAATGAAAAGTTAAAAGTGCATCAGAAGAAAATAGCAGATTTATCAGTTTTCCTTTTAAATCACAGAATCCAGATTTATAGCTTGCTTTATGCCCAGTGTATGTCACAAGGTGTAAAGAACTGGCAGTGAAGCCAAGTTAATGATGCTGTGGGAGACTTCATTTTTCTTGGTATTTCCTTACGAAGTTGCAAGAGCCAGCTCAAGCTTTGCCTTGCCTAGTCCATAGAAGGTATTCAGAGGAAGATACCACTTTCTTCCTTGTATTAGCTGCCCAGATCAGAGAAAGCAACACGTGGACAACAAACAACTTCTAACAACCCCACCATCTCATAAGTCAACAGAACTGTGGTGAATGAGGTAGTTTCCACCCTCTGTCTCCGTGTTGGCATCTCTGTCCCATTGCCCCAGAAGAATTATAGTTCCACTGCAAACTGTAATTTAGGTAGGCCTTGGGACAAGAAGAAACTGAGAATGCAAACCATGTCCCTCAGCAGCTATTAACTCCACAAAGCACAGAAATTGAAAGCCACAACCAAACTTCCATTGTTCAGCCCTTATACTCTTTTAGCATAGGATTTGGTTTAAATTTCCTCTTTTTAATGACAATTAAGAGCCATGAAGTTCTAATTAAACTTCTAATTCTTTATCTTAAATTTATTAGGAATACAATTAAACTAACAAGAAACAGCCAGTCAAAATCAAAAGTGTGACTGTAAAAGGATTTAAAATAACAGATTCAGAGGCAGGCAGAGTCCCAGTGGGAGGTTGCTCAGTTGCTTTATAGAAGAACAAGAGCCTTCATCGATCTCCTGTCATTCCCTTTTGCTCAGTGTTGAAGGATATAATGTAAAATTATACACTGTATAATGCAAAAGGAATTGAATAGATGCCAGTTTGTATGTAGTCAAGGTTCGCAGCGCAAAAGATGTATTGTTTCTTTGCAGCTGAAGGAGGAAGTGGCTGATAGAATGTGAAATTAGGATCAGTAACAGGCAAAAACAAATTGTGAAAAAAAGTCCATATATTAAGGCATAGGACATATTACATTCCTTATATGAAAGTATGGTCTTGGCATGCTAGAAATAGAAGCAAGAGTGAAAAAAACCTTGAATCTAAAAAGAACTTGATTAGCCCTGACAAAGAAATGGAAATTAATTTTGTTTCCATGAAAGTGGTTGGGTCCATTACATCTTGCTCATAATTTTAGTCCAGATGCCTACTAGGCCTGGTTTCGATTATTGCTATGTCATCATGAAGACCAGGTTTTTTGAAACTTGGCCACAGAATTCATTAGATATCAACCCCAATTATAAATGTCACTGTTTAAATTTGAGAATTTCTTATCTACATTTCAAAATTTTCTTATCTACATTAAAGACAAAAAAGTAGCTACTGTAAACAGTTTAACACTGCCCCGATTTTCAGTGACACAGAACTCAAAAGCAATTCAGGATAATTTCCTTTATTTTTTTTTAAGCATATAAAGTTTTTCAAATTAAACTAAGCATGAAAAATTTCAGACCCAAAGGATTACTTCTTACATAATACTACAGTGCCTAGAGCTAGTGAATACATATACTTACTGAAATTATTTTAAAAATTAGCCACACCACTTTTTATGGAGTGATCAAGAACAGTGCTAAATACTAAGTAAATGCAAAACATACAGTACATATGTGCACATGTTCCCTTTACTTACATATATCTTTACAGGTTCCTAACGTCTACATATGTCAGATCAAGAAGACATGCATTTGGTAGTGATAATGTGGCATGAATGACATCTGGAATGGAGTAGGGCAAACAAAAGCAAAAGCAGACCAAAAGGTATCTAGAGAACAAGGGAATACTCCCTGTGGTTCACACCAGCGAGCAGATTGCCTGAGCTCACATAATTCAGCTGGGCCTGCTGGGGTATGAAAGTATGTGGTGACCCGAGGAATCCGCCTACTATAATACACAAATCTGTTTGAGATTATGAGCTCTCCCCATACTTATACCATTGTGACTAGACTGACATTTTAAACAAGGAAAATATGACAGATATATCTGGGCATCTGATATTCAATATTAAACTTGAGAAAATAAGGATTACTGAAAGAATCTGACAAGAAAAGAACTTCCCACCAGAGAGATAACAAAATCCTGTGGACAGTGAAAGAACAGTTCTTCAGTAGAGTTCATCAAGAATGATCTTGGCAGAATTTTATCTAACATTTTCATTTAATTAATTGGAATAAAAAGTAGAATGTGGTGATAACATTAAATTTTTTGGCACTGTCAATAAAAAGAAAAAGGCACTCCCATTCCACTGAGAACAGACAGGAGCAATAGAAAAGGGACTCAGTTGATGGCAGTGATGAAGAAAGTGAAATGCTCAAAATGAGGCTATAAAAGAGCAAAATGTGCTCCAGACATATATCAGGATAAGCATTTTTAATAGAGGACATAAAATATAAATTCCTTTTGACAAGATCTTACTGTACTCTTATTGGAAATAAGAGATAAAATTTGAGCCATTTATAGAAAAGTTCATACAAGCTGGAACATATGCAGGCAAGGGCTGAGTAAAACTAGGGATACCGAGAGCCCTAGCATACCAAAGGAGAAAATACACATGTATGTGTGAAAGAGAGAAGATAATCATATATCTGGTCTGAGTATTTGCCAAGACATCTACAGTGAAGGCAGAGATGAGTGGGATGCTTTGTAATTGCATTTGTGTGGTTCCAAATTAATAAGCGAAAGTCTGAGGAAATAAGTTTCACAAGGGAGGTAGATCTGTTATCTACGGATATGTTTGGCTGCTACTTTTTTTTTTTTTTTTGTATGAAATAACCCATAAGGCATCAAAACCACAAGAGAATACAACGAAAGCAGAGCCCCAGGACCTCCACCCACACGCTTCCAAAATGGGAGACAACTTTGAAGAACATGCTGAAGGACTGCTTAGAAAGAAGGAAATTACCAAAGCAGAGCCATGGAGAGAAACAGACGACAAAAAATTTAAAGAACAGTCTGGTCAACTGCAGCAAACACTACTGACAAGTCCAGAAGAATGAGAACAGACTACTGTTTCCGAGATCTTGTCATCAGGGAGTTTGGTGAGAGCGTTTGCAGTTGCAAGCAAGGAACAGAAGCCAAAGTGTAGGAGTTATAGGAGGGAATCACAGAAGAGGGTCCCCAGACAGTAATTATAAACAGCGCCTTCAATGAGCTTAGGAATGAATAAGAGATAGGCGATGAGATATGATATGAAGAACCAAGTAGGGTCAGAGGTGCAATTTTTAAGAGGCAAATGCTTGCTTATATTACAAGTGGAAAAGAGCCAGAGGACAGTGAGAGGTTAAGAAAGAGAAAAAGGGAGGGAAGAAATAGGAGGAAGAACAGAACATAGGGTCACTGGGGCAAGTGGAAGGGGTACAGATGGGAAGTAGACAAGAAACTTCTGCTGCTCTGACAGTAGAGAAGAAAGGATCAGGGGAAGGGAGAGAGACGAAAGTGACAGAAGGAAAAGGATACTGTATCTATGTTTCTTAGGAGAAAAAGCAAGATCCTACATGAAGAAAAGCAGCAGAGGAAAACAAGAGTTTGAGCAATAAGTTGCAGAGGCAACTGGGATTTAATTTGGGAATTCAATTAAGCTGGAGAATACAGCTGTTTTCTAAAAAGATAGCAGGACTGAAAGAAAAAAATACTGTGTAATGAAAAAGACTATCCTAATCTCAGGATATTCACCAGACACACTCCACAGTATGAGAGCAGAAGCAAACTGGGAGTTTACAAAGCAGATACTGCAATGGAAGTGTTTAATTCTAAGTATGTCCTTAAATCTCTGCCGAATCAAGGCCAGATGTAGCTTAACTACATCTTCAGCATGCCATCAAGAAAAGAGCCCATGAAACCAGTGGTGTAAAGAAGGACCTGAAAGTGAACGTATGTATACAGCTGCTTTAGAAACACATGGGTATATGCTGTTTTGCTCACTCAAGTTTTGTGAAATCAGAATTTCTCCCTTTAATAAAAAGTGATAAAAAGAAGTTTTCTACTTGTTTCACCTGACAGAGTTTACCCAGTCTCTTGCCTGTTCTACAGATTTCACTGCAGGTGAGGATCATTCGGTCTTCTACTGAATTGTTTTCTATGCATATAAAAACAAAAAATAGACAATTTTACTGCATAATATTTTGCACAAAAATGATGAACAGCCTCTGGGGATGAGGAGATAGAAGGAAGAGGAAGAGAGTTTTAAATTTCTTCCAGTAAGCCGAAACCAAATTGCAATGTTCCAGAAATGGTGTAGACAGTATAAGGTCCCCACAATCAAGGTCACTAGGAATGGTGATAATCACCACACCAGCCCAATGTCTGTGAAGTAAAGAATATAAAACCTCAAATAGGGTAAATGAGCAAACTTTTCTTAACCAAAGGGTGTTAAAAGAAAATGAATCCAAGCAGAAACTGAACTCCATGTTGTTGTAATCAGCCCTTTGTCAGCTTGTTTCAGCAAGAGTTCCAGAGCCAGATCCACAGCTGCTACCACAGCTGGAAGCATGAAGCCTCCTGAGAAGCCAGTTGCAGACTCAGATGCTGCTGTTTCCTGTTTATTATTATAGTGTAAGTTTGCATATAATTTACCATGTTCACTGCAGATGTATTTATTTTTATTGGATGTTTGTGCTAAAATGTATATGCCTCTCATTTGGTGAATTCATAATCTCAAGGCTGATATATTCTGTCTCTTTGCAAAGGAAGCCATTAGTTAAAAACAAGCAGACTTTACTGTAAGCAAAGGGGAAACACAAGGAAGAGAAGAGAGAAAGGAGAT